ACTCCACATTACTCTTCTCACAAAGAACGTCTTTGATAGACTCGAATAATCCTCGCTTCACTCGAGATATAGATTTCTCGTCTGGATTTCGGTTAAGGTTATAAATCAAAAAGTAAATTGCCCTACTTGTCAGATAAAGTGGGTGTGTAGAGTAATAAACTGATTGCCCGCCAAAATTCCACAAAGTTGAAAAAATTTCATCTTTGTCTTCGTCAACGCGTACAACGTGAAGAAGCTTCGTCACCAATGATGCTCTTGACCGAGGTCGCCACTACAGACCGAACGCAGTGAGGTCTGTACCAGCAACCGCGGCTAATAACGAAGCTCGGTTAATAAGATTTTTATTATATGGCTGTGTCTAATATGCCAATTTTTTATATTCTTTCTACCTTTTTTTTTCTAGACCGGTCTAACAGTAATGTTAGGGTGTTTTGTTTATCTGGAAACGAGAAAAGTAACCCATCAAGGACAGCTTTCATTTGAACATTCTGAACTCATTTTCTTGCTCCGAGCGCACAAGTTACATTACAAACTTACTGAGACACGAATTTGGTTTAATTTGTCAAACTTTAAGGTTATCCTGGAGCGTTGTGCACATTGACAAATCTTTGCTATGCAGTCAGCGAACGGAAGAAACCATTATTATGGCTACTCGAACAGACTTCAAAGGTGGGCATTTCTAACCAAAGATCCTGGCAAATTCTATGCAGATTTTTTAAGTTATCCTGGAATTCAGTTGTAGTAACCAGCTCTTGCACTCTTTGTAGACCATAAAACGCTAATGTCGACTGCAATTTTGAAGTGAAACCTCAAATAATTATACGTACCATTTAATAGTGTAAGATCGTAAAAGTTGCATTGATTAGTTTTGTTTTACGTTATTTCCGATTCTAAGCAACACTTGGATAAATTATTTCCATATAAGGTGATTCGGTAAATGTAAACAACGGCCTTCATCTGGCGCGAAGATTTGTTCGGATATTTGCCCGCGCACATTACCTGTTTAAAGATGCGAAAGTTTTCCGAGAGCAAAGCTCGAAGGAAAACTGAAAGCTTCTAAGAACTGATAATTTCCAATGCCGCTTTTCGAGCTCCCGCGGCGCATTGGCGTCACTGCAATTTACTCAAGATCAAATTTTTTTTCACTGACTTTTTTTAACGGCGCGACGGACTTCGCCGAAAAAGAGGGACCACTTGTAGTCTAGGTCTGTTTGATAGCGCTTTACAAAAATTAAAGGAGAAATAACGAAGACAAATTGTTAGCAGATGCATTTAATATATTGCGGTAGCTTTGCTCACCTAGGACTGTATCACACCAGCTAGTCTCGCATTTTTGGGGTAAAATATGGTAATCCATTCCTTCGCTGCCGCTACTGTTATGGTTTGCGACTCAAACAGACGAGCATATGGTGAACAACAACGAATTTAATGTCTCCCGGATGTGTGACGTAATACATTACTTAACATCTTCCTTCTCAGAAAAAAGTAGATGTATAACAAACTTGGGAGGACTAACAAAAACCTTAAGCAGGAAAGGTTCCTAAAGCAAATCAGACACGTTCTTTGAACTAAAAAAATGTTTCTATAAACCTATACTAAAAAGGGAACGAAAACGAGGTCTAATTTGATAAGTCAGTACTATACTTAGTCCCTCACTGAACAAAGTCTTTGAACAGGGTGTTAGGCTTGACAATTCGTCCAGATCTGGTCTGCGTAACGTTGCTACTGGATTGGGGTATCACAGTCTTGCTGGGCGTGGACGTTGCTAGGGCTTTCCTGAGTAATGGCTGAGTGCGAGCCGGGTCACGATCATTGGTAGCAGGTCTGTTCTCAGGTGGACCTTGTATCTGGGCCGGGTCAGGTTCTTGAACAGGCAGATTGTCTATCTGGGACTGGATAGCATCGCGTAGGTGGATACGATTTCTGCGATAGGAACGTCCATTCACTACCACCCGGTAACTGCGAGGGGCTATATTCTCTAGAATAACTCCAGACTTCCAATCGCTGCGGGGGTGTTGAGGATGTGCTTTGACTCGCACTGGTTGTCCAACTATTAGCTGGGCAGCTGTTTGGCACTTCGGTCATGGTAATGTTTAGCAAGTTGTCTCTTGTGCATCACTTGGGCTGTTACAGTGGACTGTACTTCAGGTTTGTACAGCGATTCCTTTCACGGTAGGAATGATCTTGTTCTGCGTGACATGAGGCGTTGGACTGGGGAGCTGCCTTGAGAGGGAGTGGGTGAATTTCTCCATTCTAGGATAGATTTCAATATATCGGTTCCTTGTTTGTTGGCTTTGCTGATAATGGAATTCATTATCTTGATTGCTGATTCAGCCTTGCCATTTGCCTTTGGGTGATGGGGACTGGAGGTGACATGTTGGATGTCCCAGTCAGGAGTGAAGTCAGTGAATTTCCCAGAGGCGTAATTAGGGCCGTTGTCAGAAATTAACATGACGGGAATTCCATGAAGGGCAAAGATTTGCTTGAGCTGTTTAATCAAAGCGGCGGAGGACAGTGAGTTCTCACAAAGCATTTAATCTTCAAATGTACCGAACTGGCACGTAGCGGCAAGTTTGCGAAGTTCAGTTAAGAACTGATCAGAGCTTTTACCGGGTTTCT